GTACGTTTCAACGCTGTAAGTTGTTTACAATTTGGTATTAGTTCTTTTTTCGCGGATATTCAAGATGACAAGATGACTCGTGTACAGCGAGTCTGACATATCTACTAGATTGTATTATTGTGTTGACACTGAGATAGTCCAGTGGTTGTGTCGATGGACTGCCAATCCAGATAGTGGGGTTCAAATCCCACTTCAGACACTTTTTCACTCTCAAAACGGCAATTTATGTGTAGTGAGCAATTGTCACCTGTAGAGGGCAGTATTGTGTTGGGCATCAGTGGAGAGAAGAGAGAAAAGGCAGTCCTGTGGCATAGATCCATGGTTTTCAATGCATGGGCGTAACCCGCTATGACGTCACACACAGGTTAGAGCATACACAACTTAAATTAATGAAAAACACGTTCTTTTTATAAAATATAGGATTTTTTTTGCCGGAATCTCTTTCAGATTGACATTGTCATGCAATTTTGATATCCACAATTTATTTTTTTTAAACCCGGCATAAGGTCTTTAACCATGGTACAACATTGTTCCCAAAACAAACCAGAGATCCATTCACTATGATACCAGAAACGGCTGGCATAAACCTGTAACTCCACCCCTTCTGCCTAATAAGAGCTCTTCTCAGTCAGAAGTATGGTGTCATTTTACCGTTTATCACACTCAGAGCAGTTTTTATTTTTATTTTTTAAACACAGGAATTGCCCTTAAATTAGCTTTGGCCATGTCTGTGTCTGAAGTTAGCATAATTTACCCTTCACCATATATTTTATACTGCAGATATAAAATTCACTTTCTAAAATATTAAATAACCAAATAAACAGTCCTCTTATTTTTTTTCAATGGCCAAAAGTAATGTCTTTTATAATACTAATTTTTTTTTTAGATTTTTTTCACATTTTCTGGTACAAAATGTGTCAATTGATCGGAGGTAAACCTAATACTAAACTAATTAACACTACATTTTAGAATTGAATGGACCACTGATATGTATTCTGAAACTATCTATCTAAATGATGATAGTGATAAAAAAGAAATCCAAAAGTTTGGACTTGGCTTTTATGCAAACCATCTTTTGGTTTGGCTTGTATAATAAATATGGTAACAATTGCTTCTGAGTCCCTTTGTTCGTATCAGATTCCCTTCTCTCTTGCCATTCTAAAAAGGAAAACGTATCTAAATTCATTTTTACGGTGTGCTCCTGGACCAGGACCACATGTCTTTCACATAACTCATCCAACACAATTAATTCTTATGCTATCAACTTTTTTTCCTACAGCTAAGTCAGTGCATATTGACATTTCATAACCGGTAGTTGTTTTGGGGGACCTGGATATGACCTTAGCATAGCATACACACTCAGGACTTCATCTACGGCTCTAGGAAAACTGTGAAAAAGATTCAAGGGAAGAACGCCAAGCCAAAGGAGTTTGGAAGATTGGAGAAAGTACAAAATAAACACTCGATGATAATAGTTACTATAACCTCTGAAACTCCTCTTAATAAAGCATCCACACGAACCATCTCTTTGTTCTACTGTTCTGACTGTATTTTGTCTTAAACTCTATCATTTTATTTTTTACTTGAATTATATAATATTTTTGTTGAACTTTGACCAAAGTTCTGGGGTGTGATGTTTATTGCCTGCAATGTTCGGGGCGTATTTGGGACATGAGGGCTTCAGGCGGAGCTACTTGACCTCTGCCACGTAGTGTGAGCTCAGTCTAAATCTATTTTATATATCATAACCATAAACCAATCTTTTTTTAAAACCATGTTTAACAAAGAACCATAGGGGTCATGAGAATAGAATTGGTTATGCCCCCGTTTAAAAAGATGTTGGCGCTTAATTAACACTCAACAAAAATACTACAGTATTGTTCCTTTATATTCAATTTATTGAAGATTAACTGTTATCAAAATAAAATTGCATTTATATAATTTTTCGCCAAAAACACTGGAAAAATCAAGAACAAAATCAAGATTTTAAAATGTATGTTAATAAATAGATAAACAATATTGTACATAGACCCGTTAATGTGTAAGTGCAGTGTGTGCATTCAGTCCATCGTGCACTGTGCACGGTGTTAATGGTTTTTTAAAGCAGCTCCACTGGTGTCTGTTTGGTTTTCATCAGCTCTCGCCTGCCCAAACACAAACACACAGTGATGATGATAGCTTACATTCCTCTGCTATATATCGTCCTAAAGAGTCCACTGTAACTCTACTCTGCTTTCTCTTTCCCTGTCCAAACTCCAGCAATTGATTAAAAATGGCACCTTTATGTTGTCTAATAACTTTGAATCCATTATCTGAAACACTTTACGTCTCACTGAAAAAGCCATGTCATAAATGATGCATGTACTTGGGCTAAAGAAATGGAGCAGAACCGAGCAGCTGCGGGGAATATAGTAAAAGCCTACGTGCTTTTCATAATAATGTGTATTAAGAATGTTTGTGTTGTAATAATATACACACATTATAGCATAGCACTGTAACAAGTTATTGAGAAATGTGAACCTTTTTTTTCTTCAATGCACCAGTATGGGCTATTGCACAAAATAAAGAATTCAATGTTTTTAGTTTTTAGTTAAAACAAATATATGACCAGCTCAATTGCAGTTTACATTTTTCAACAGATTTTCCAACACTAGCAGCTGTCGTTTGTGTGTGTGGTCCTTTGTTGGTAGCGCTCTTGACATTAACTCTTTAGTTTTCTCATACATGTGAAAAGTGGAGCCCTGAAACATCTAAAGAGATAGTGGATTACGAATGAGGAACAGAAAGAAATGAGAAATATTAAGATGAGAACCAAATGTATGGAAAAAGTGCTTGTGAAGAAACACCCAATTGTCAGCTATTGAGCTTGATATGTATCTTTGTATTGAACACATTAGCTGAAGATTTTGGTGAATTATAAGTGGTTGTTTTTAGCGCTTTGATTAATATGTATGCTGCATGTTTAGAGTATTTGGTCAAATCTTTCACATTCTATTGTATTTGTGGCAAGTTGAGGGTACTACTTGATTCAAACTATTATGATGATTACTTTATCTTTAAGAAGTTCCAGTGAAACCAGGACAATTTAAAAGTGGTGACAATAAAGGTTTCACTTCTACATGATTACATTTATTTGCACATTGTAGATTTTAAGTTGACACATTTAAATCAATTTACATCTCATTTGTTGTTCAGTTTCACGAATGTTTTCACTGCAAGGAAAGGAATGAGAGACACAGACAGGCAACAGGCAACACATGTGGGCACAAGGCAGACGAAAGGCAGCAGTCCCCCACTAAATCCTCCCTAAAACAACCATGTCACCTGGAGAAATCAATGAATGACTAACACAAGCCTAAAATCTGTACACATTCTTAATGGAAACAAACGCACCATGCGCAAACGCAACGTATTGCAGGGTTTTTACGCACACACAACACAACACCGGAGACACATCGAGGGGCTTGGGCCCTCACCGCAGCACTAGACAATGAAATGCTTTCATTACGAAATATATCGCAGACAATAATATCGCGAATATTGTGAATATTCGCGATATATTCGCGAGTGAATTTGAAGATATGCTTTTTTGTATTATCGTCTTTTTCTACATTACAATTAGAGCAGGCAAGATGCCCATTCGTCAAATGAGTGCATAAAGCGCCAATTGGGCATTATTTGTAAATTTCAGAAAATATTGAGCAAGCCTTTTTGGAAATGTTCTTTGTGCATGTTTGCTATTTTACTATTTTGATTTACATTGCGACAGTAGCTCAGTTGGTAGAGCATTGGCCTTTGGGCCTGAAGGTCGTGGGTTTGAGCCCACCGTAAGACCTACTTCACGACTCCCACTGATGACTGTGTCCTTGGGCAAGACACTTAACCCTACTTTGCCCAAAGCCCCAACTGAAAGATCTCAGCTCCTGTGGACTCATCACCTGCAGGAGGATCAGTGAGGGGCTGGTGCCATGTGTACTGGGTGCAGCTCTGACTGCCACCCCCCCGACCTGGAAATGGAAGGGGAAGAAAATGGATGGATGGATGGATTTACATTGCAGATCGCTTTGTGTGAAAATGATTCATTTCCAAGATATCGTGACAATGTTGTTATCGGGAGTTGGGAAACAAATAATAATAATAATAATGCATCGGTTTTATATAGCGCTTTTTTGGACACTCAAAGACGCTTCACATGTGTCATTATTCATTCACTCCATACACGGTGGTGATAAACTACTACTGTAGCCACAGCTGCCCTGGGGCACACTGACAAATATCGAGATAATTAATTTTGTTCATATCGCCCACCCCTACGAGTGACAACAACCAACATTAACTACCTGCACATTGCATCGGGTGCAGTGGGTGCGGGTCCCGGCTCAAAAATGTCCAAAATGACGTGCGCTGTCAAGCCTGCAATAACACCCCGGGCCAATGGCAGTGGACCCGGAATACGAATTATTCAATGCTAATCTACGTATCTTCTCACCTCTCGAAAACGGTTTTACAGAATGGTGTGTCGATGCTGAGGCGAGTGAATTTTTTTGGACCACTCTAGTTTAGTCGTAGTGGAATTTTGACGGCACTCGTCAAATGAATGGGGCTTGTGCCAGCTGACGGATGCGCAAAGGCGTTTTTTCACATTTTTCATCCCCCGTAGCCATTTTGAAACTGCCCATAGACGGCAAAAGTGGTGGCACATTAGTTTGAACGGCGGAGATAGGTGTGCCTATGTTCGTTAATATTTACAGTCTATGGGCGGGTAAGGAGCACACACACAGACCAGGGAGTGCATGAGGTCAGAGGGCAAGTGATGTCACAACAGCACTTTTATTCAGAGACAGCTAAATTGAACAGCCAATTAAAATGCATATTATGTGTTTCAATTTCTTTTTTACAACCTTGAAGATTCCCTTATAGGAGAGAATGCACAGTAGTGTTGTGATAGCGGGCGAGCAGTTGACGAATGTGTAAGTTGGTGTTTTTCTTTGTGTCTTCAGATAAATGCTTGTCGACCCCGAGCGGTCCAAAGTGCGTATCCTCCTCCGTGTCGTCAGTGTCGGAGACGGAGCCCACTTCCTCTCCCTCTTCCAGACTTCCTGTCAGCCAGATGATCGATAAGGTCAGAGGGTACTGCTCCACTCGCTCAGACAACTTCTACAAAAACATCATCCTGTCTGACGGATTCAGCAACAGCACCAAGTTCTGACCCCCCGTTTCTCTCACTCTCTCTCTCTCTCTTTGGAGAAACCACACACCCTCTATATTCTAAGTTGCACGTGACTTTGGTGTTTCCTGTTTCATCAAAAACGTGACGAAAGTTAATACTCTATTTGTTTTTCATCAAGGAAGTCATGGAGTGTTTTTGATAACCTCTTCAAAGTTCTGGTTATTTCTAAGCATAGGCTATAAAGTGAATCACAAATAATGAAACATGTTAACACTACATAACTGTGCAACAAGATCTTCTCAAATATTCTCCAAGTTGATTTTTTTTTTAAGACCAGAATTTTTTGTTTTTTTTGTACCTGACAGTTTGGCCGCTCACTCCTCCTCAGAGTGGTCAAGTTTCTGTGACCAGTGGCAGGACGTCAGCGCCATCTGCAGTCCGATTCCTTCAGGGCAGAATCTCAGGTGTGTGAGAGTATAAATGCCCCTTGATCCCGGTTTATTGTCCTGAAGGCCCATCACTGTATATCTATTCAGATTCAGAAAACTTTATTGATCCAAAAGAGCAATTCATTTGCAGAAGAATCTTAGAGTAGAAGACACAGACTCTACACAAACACAGAGTAAGTCAGGCCTCAGAGTTGACGCAGCAATAAAACGCACAATAAAAGTTAACACAATACACACAAATACACAACAATTCCCAAAAGTCAAACACTTCCACCAGAGTTCAAAACAAATTTAGCAGAGGGCACAAAATAATTGAAAAAGTGATTTGTTTTCCGAGCTGGAGAAGGAAAACGACGCCCTGAAGGCATCATGACAAAGTCGGCGATCAGAGGATGTTTGAGCTGAGCCAGAATACGCTTAGCTTTATTCAGCACCACAAAGAGTGAAGGTATTGAAGTTTGTCTCTTTGATCCACTCTGGTCTTAAACAAAAGAATGAACTTGTAGACCCAATATAACTGTCAAAACAAAACACACTGGGTGATTGGGAACTACAAATAATTATTTTCACCATTTTTATTTGATGTTGTTGAATATGTTGTGAAGTGTAAATCATCAATAGTTACGTCAAAATGGCAGTGAAGTGGCTGGGGCAAATTATCCATGGAATTTTTGGAATGTAATCTTAAACCTGTACATCATCATTGAATTCTTACATGGGCTCGCCTCTCCGCTGGTATGATTTGTAGCTTAAGAACAACATTTACCATGCAAAAAGAGGACTTTACTTAAAACTTTTAAAAAAATACAAATATAGGTATTTTTTCAATTACTCTTATTCCTATCAACACATGTCACGATTTATGATTTTTATCAAATAAAAAGTGTTGTTTTGTGCACAATTTGGCATACATATACTGTATCCACTAATTTAAAACAATACAATATATTTACCGCTCTGAGATCCAAAAGAAACTAAAGTAATGGTTATAAATGTAATTTATCACCACCGTGGAGTGAAAGAGAATGTGAAGCGTCCTGAAAAGCGCTATATAAAAATGATTATTATTTTTAAATGGACCATGAAATATATCACATACACATTTTGTCTACATATTTTGTCTACTTATCTTCTTCATGCAATTTGCCAATCCTCGCTTATCTTAGAATACTATCTGAAGGAAATAATTTTGGACAAAGTTAGACACGATGAGGTTCAAATCCGTAGATCAGCGCTCCAGGGTGGTCACTGTAAACCAAAAAAAATAAAAAAGTCTTCTACTGTATCTTATTGCGTTACAAATGGGCCAAGACCTCTGGGAAATGAAGCGTGGTGGAGGTAGAGAGAGTGTAACAATAAACACTACTGTGCGCAAGTCAAATAGGTAGATTTTTCACTTAAATTGGTTAAATAAAAGAATATTTACTTGGCAGAAGCTCTCGTAAAATATATTCACATTTTTCCCTTTGCTAAGTCAAAACAGCAGCACATTATTAAGCCTGTTGCTTGGTCATTTGAATGTACCGTTCCAGTCAAAGCAATGTCATTTCCAAAGATAATAACATTTAACGTGATCATAGGACCTTTGCATTTCAAAACCCTTTATATTGGAGTCTTAAAAATGACACCGAAGGCAAGAATGTCGTTGAATCACAGACAAACGTAACCTTAAAAATGTACATTATCCTTCAATTGAGGTGGCAAATATGGCTGTATAAGTTGGCTCAATATAAATTCAAATGGCATAGATCATTTCCAGGTTAAAAACAATATCCATACCTATTCCTTCTGCACAGTACAATAGCATTAGATTGTTGTCGATGCTTGTAATGTGTATTCAATTGAGTGTATTTGGAGCCATAGACTTTGTACATATTGAGAATTCTGTGTTTACTGTCTGTCTTCTATTGTGTTATGTTATAGCTTTTGTTCATGCCAGTACGGGGTCCAGGACGGGTCAAAAAACGGCTTGTACATATAAACACATTCCTTTGGCACACACGCCGCTTCAGCCTGCAGCTCACAAAGAGGTCTAGAATTTTTTGCTTTCCCCCGGAGAAGTTTCCAGACCAGAATCCTTTGAGGGGACTTGCGGCTTCTATGGCAGAGTACGGTTAGTGAGTGAAGTCCCTCCAAGTGTGTGAGTGATTGGAATCTCACTGAGCCCAGAGTGCGTCAAAATTGTGGCAGTTTTTGGCTGACGTGTGGCAAATTAATTCTGCAGTTCTGTGGAGGTCATGTCTCCCTATTCTACACTATTGTCCTCTTTAGACACATTTGCAGAGAATTACAATTGAATGCACAAATGTTCAGCCTGACCATAGACCAATAGTTGATGATTGAAGAAGAAGCCGATTATAACTAATTCTCAGAGGCGCCATGAGCAGGCAGTGACCGAGCAATTCTTAAGATTGGGATTGCAAATCAGCCATAGTTATAAATATTGTAGTGCTTCACATGTTGATTGTGTACACTTGTCCCAAACAAAGAAATAAATATACCAAAGAGGCTCAGGAGGGGTGCTGCTGGTCTGTTCTCACTCACGCTACACAGAAGAAAATGATAAAATATGAGGTAATAATTGCTTGAATCAAGAGATTTTTATTTAGTTTAGTATATTTTGACTGTCTTCAAACAAGATTTGCCAACGGGACTAGCCTTTATAGTCTTATTTCAGTCTTGTTTGACATGTATTGCCATTTCTTGTGTCAATGTGTTATCTTAAAACAAGATCATTTTTCTTGTCCCATTGGCAATTCTTGTTTTAAGACAGTCAAAATGTGCTCAAAGTAAGGTACATGTTGCCAAATTTGAGAAGTTTTTGCAGTGTACTCACCAGCAAAAGCAAAACTCGGGGACAAAAGGGCCCTGATTGGTCAATTAATGATGGACATATCTGGCAATATCAAAATAAAAAAAACATCATGCTCATACCACCAAAATGTTGAGTGTGACACAAACTGTTACAAAGTAAGAGGAGCATACTTGTGAAAATGAATGGAGCCATGCAAAACTTTGCCTACAAGCACTTCCCTATAAGGCTTCATCGAGCTGTAACAGGTTTCCATTGTCCATAGATTTACGGTCTATTAGTCTAACTAATGTCCATAGATTTTAATAATATGTATGAAAATATAAATATAAAAAGGATCCATTGTGCGACCACCATAAAGAGTTAGCATCAAATTCTCTGAAAGATGAATATAAATTAAATATAAAATGTTGGAAGCACAACTGTATTCAATTATTTTTGTGATCGCAAACATTTCCAGTACCGCGACCCGGCAACGGATAAAGCGGAAGAAAATGGATGGATGGATGGATGGATAGTCTAACACATCGTCTTCATGAAGATGTAATTGCTTTGCCTGAAATCTTCAAGGCAACATTATAGCATTAATTCTGCACAATTTATTAAATGAGTTGTGTTTTTACTAAAAATAAAACGCTAGCACACGTGACTGGAGGAATGAAACCAATCTTTATACCCCTGGAACATTAATATAGCCTTCTATGGAATTTTCTGTAGGTGAAGCAAAAACATCTCAGCGTTTAATCACAAATTTTATTTCTAAATACTAAAATATGTTTTAAAAAGTAATCCTATAACAAATGTAGTCACCAGTCTTTCTGTATAAGCTCTGACAGTTCATTTTGGAAATCTTTGGAAGTTCCCTGTATTTTTCCGGCCCTACATTTGTCAAACATGGACCAAAGATTGTGTATAATTGTCCGCTCTGCTCCCCGAGGCCAGATAGGACAACTTTGATCTTTTTTTTTTTCAACATATTCTTACTTTGTGTTGGAAAATGTGGCGTAGGTAATGGCAGGACAACGGCTTTAGGCTGCTTCAGGCTTCTCCTGGATCATGTTTCTTGTTGCACACACCGCTGACATTTAGTGACGGCGAAAGATTAGATGTTACTTTTTGTCTAATCAGGATTTAGACTAATCCGCACTGAATAGACTTCTGTGGGGTTTGCTTCACTTTAATGTTCACTCATTGAAGAAACCCCAATCATTTTTTCATTGATCTTTTTCTAAGATGTAGCACTCATAACACAAATGTATATACATTTATTTTATTTTTTTGGGGTGATGCAGTTTGATGGTGAACGTGCCTGAAACCAAGTGATAGAGATAGATTTCAGTTCCAAGCTTCAAGTAGATACAGTGGCCCTCATTTATGAAACTTGTGCAGAAAAGGGTGTATATTTTGGGTGTATATTCCAAATACGTAAGAACCAACACCAGATTTATGAACAAGTGAGATCTGCCCAGATCTGAGCGTACACAGCTGCGGTTATTTTTTGGATAATATAAAATGTATATCATGATCCAAACAGAAGGAGATTTCTAAAAGTAAAATGTTGTGAACAAATTAGTCCACATCCTGCCGTTTTCACCTTAGATGGATCACAATCCCACTAGTGCACTATCCATGTGTTGGTTTTAAACTTAAGCTTCATGACAGCATGTGACATCACAGCCCAATAGCTTTTGTGACAGATAGACAGGCAAACTTCCTTGATTGTTACTTAGTTTCATTTTTTGTGGTTTGAGAATGAAATACTCCAGCTTAATCATTAC